GCCTTGCCACCTGGGAGCTGTGCACCACGCCGGTTGACTGTTCGGTGGAAGGTATGGGGGAGTTGTCAGGGCGGCAGGGGTGGGCGACGGTGACGTCGAGCAGGTAATCACTGCCGTCGATCACACAATAGATGTCCATGCGCTGGTTGTTGGGGTTGTCGTCAGGCGGGGTGATGCCGAGGCTGTGCAGAGACACCTCGACATTGGAGGGAACATCTGCTTCAGCCAGGATGCGGACAAACAAGTTGCGCATGTTGTTGTGTCTCGTGACTCGCTCACGGCCCGTGTGACACACGTAGAAGTGATCGCCAAACTTGTCCACCTCCCCGCCGCAGATTTCCCCTCGTCTGTGGATCACTCGGGGGGCAACTTGAAAACAAGCACCTCGGTGGCAAGAAAATCCCATCCTTTGGGCAATGCCATTGCTCGGACAATGCCATCCATTACCGACATACCTTCTCCCTGCTGTCAGTACTTTATCGACCTCATCCGTGGGGCTGTTCGATATAGAGGATGGAGCGTCGAAGTTTTCTTAGGTGAGGTCCGAGTCACCAGAAGGAATGAGTCAGGCATCCTGCAGCGCAACTCTTCTTCCATTTGCGCCAGACAAGGAGATGGTGAGCTCTATCATCGCCTGGAGAAGCCACAAATACAACTTGAATACAACGGCAGAGGAAAGATAGTGCGCAATGACAGTGCGTGTCGGTGCTGACTGGCTTGTCATGCCTCCCCATTTCCTTCTCACGCGTACCTTGAAGACGAAGTCGTCACCCAGCGGTCTCAGTCGCCGACGTAGGTGATGGAATGTCGTGCATCGAACATGGTGTTCTCTATCCATACCATTGAAGATAGAAGAACATACGGAAACACAAACGATTGATAGCTGTGAGCACTAACAGAATCTCTCGGGTGGCAGCGAGGACGTTGAGACATTCAAGAGAACAGTCACGGCAGCCAACGTACCGGGATGTCCGTGATGCTGACCACAAAAATCGCGCAGCTAAGTGATATGTGGCCACGAGCTCTCCCCAAAGGCATTCAGTCGCCATGAGATGAAGGAAAAGCATGTCCCGTTGCAGAGACATTCACGAGCCAACGTGAAGAGTTCCACTGTCCAATCACACACTGCAGGCACACAGATAAGCTGAGGCGTCTCAGATATACAGGCCGGCAGGAAGACAGACAGGCAGAAAGGCAAGCTGGCATCTCTCCTATCCAGCTGGTGTTGCCCGCTGCCGAAACACACCGAATGCGCCCTTTTGCTCGTCTGGCTGCGGGTTGTGTGTTGTGCGGATGGGGCGATGTGATGGCGTACGAGAAATCAGCATGAAATGCAGTTGAGCTGCGTAGACGCATTCCCGATCTGTTATGTCAATGAAAGCTCATGAAAGCGTACACACGTGGACACAGAACAGCGGCTTTCATACCGAATGTGTGCCCAGGATTCGACTTTTTCTTCCCTCCCCTTTCCCTGTACGTCCTACTGTCGGATGGTGCGGTAAAAGGTTTTGTTGCGGTCGGTATCGACCAAGCAATCGAATCGTGAGCGAGCCACGAGCAAGCCACGATTCCGACAATACCACACACAAAAGCACACACATACGTATACACACGTGGACTACACACACAGACAGACGCTCACCGAAGGGTCGAGCACAACGGAAAAATTATCCATCCATGCATCTTGCTGCCGCATGAGCATTAACACTCAGTCGATATGTACATGACAGGTCAATCGTGTCGGGCGGGCAGACAGTCGGGCGGACGGGCGAGACATTCTATACAACTAGGTATGTGCATGTGTGGGTCGATCTGTCTGTCTGTCTATCTTTCTATCGATCTGTCTATCTATGTGGTGTCTCTTGGCGGGGTGTGGGCCAGCAGGAAATGGAGCACATGCTCGTAGGTCTGATACAAACACATACACACAGGTACACATACACGGCTCCCTGACCCGATGCACATCCTGTTCTGTCTCAGTTGCTGACCTTCTCGTTGCCCTTTTCATTCGGCAAATGGTGATACATCTCGTCCGCCACCACGAAGTCGGCTTTCTGATGACACGAGAGAGGCAGGGCAGACACACATCCCATAGATCAGGCCCATTTACGTGCACGTCATTCGCCCACCTCGGATGAGACTTTCTGGAGAAACGTCTTGGATCCGTCTGGGGCGACGATGCCGTCTTTGTGGGAGTGCACCAGCAGCACCGGACACCGGATCGACGACGCCTTGCTCATCGCGCTGTCTACGGCCAGCATCACTTCCAACCCAATGCGGGCACGGCTCCTGCACGTGTGCATGCCACAGAAGAGATACACACATCTCCATCTGTCTGTGGTGTGGCGTGGTCTTTGTATGTAGCTGTCTTACAGTCCTGTGTAGAATAGCGGGTCCAGAACAATCTCTACGTGCACCTCATCTATGTGCACCTGGCACATTGATACACAGATTGACTGTCTGTCCAGGTACATTTACTCACCGGTCTGCTTCCTATGGCCAGGTGGGGGGCGATGCGGCTGGCGATGGGCAGCAGGGGCATGAAGGGCCGGTTGGCCGCCTTCATGATCGTCATGTCCAGCATCGGCGATAACTGCACAAGGAGCAGACCAAATACATGCGAAGCCATACGAGCGTATACGTCTATGTCTATGATGCCAATCTGACCAGTACGATGCCGTCGAGCATTCGCCCGGCCGCGCCAGCAGCCGCCTGGGCGGCGACATTGCCTCCCATCGACAGCGCCATCATGAACACCGGCACCGAACCACTGACAACAAACGGGGACAAGCAGACAGGGAGGGAGGACTCGTGGATGGGTGTAGGGATGCGCGCCTATCTGTGTGTCGTGTAGCACAGTGTCGCTCACCCGACAGTTGTTCTGACGTCATTGAGTACCACCGCCGCGTCATCGACCAGGTCGTCAAATGACTCACAGTTGCACCTACACACACACACAGAGGCACGCACAGCCCAAATCCGTCCACTGCGTGTTTTTGCTGGCATTCATTTTGTGTTTGTCTGTACCGAACGTCCTGCCAGGCATCCGATAGGCCGTGTCCCTGGTGGTCGTATGCATAAACGCTAAAGCCCTCAAAATTCAACCTGATTGATGACATCAGATCCAATGACATAGAGACAGCAAGTGCAAACAGGGCTTGGGGGTTGGGTGTGGTGTGTGGGTTACTTCTGTATCCAGCTGCCATCGTATTTCTGCCCGGGGAGTGTGAGGAAGCAGAAGCGGAAGTGTGACGCATAACCGTGCATCGCTGGCCAACAGATCATACAAACAAAAGGACAACGGTCTGTCTGTGTGGCGGCCATTCCTCTCGTCAAAGAGGTAGGCCCGTACCTATGATAGCCCCGCGAGGCTTCTTGACTTCGTAGCTGAAGCGCTGAAGGTGCAGCCCCTGCACGCACGACCACACACACACCCAACGCTGCATGGTCAGCATTGTACCTTTGCGTTGATGGTTGTGTGAAGCTTGGGGCGGCCCAGCTCTAATCACATCCATCCACACCAAAGCCACCCTGGCGTCACCATGCATGGTGCATCAGTGCTAGTGTACCTTGGACTTTCTCGTCGCATCTCTCGAGTTGCTCACGCAGGGCAGCTGCTTTGGGGCGCGATATGAGTCCCAGTGTTTCGCCTATGTGCCGGATGAGCATCATCAGCCACCACCCATTGAAGAAGACGTGCCATTTCGCCTTGCGATACGACGGGCGGGTCACCCACAGCAGCAAGTAGCGATACCAGAAAACCAGATCCTGGAACGGGAAATGCAGCCACACTTCCCGCTTCAGGAAGCCAAACAACATCGCATCGTCAGCAGCAGGAGTAGGCGATGGTAGTGTGGCGATGTAATTGAGGAAAGACAGGTGAAATTTGAGCTCGCCTCCCTGGCCACTGGCAGGCCTAGGGTGCTTCGAAACCGCTTACCCTGGTGCGTAAACCGCTGCTGCTCCTCCTCTTGGTGCGTGCAATCGCTCTCTCTCCTTCTGGTGCGTGATTTTGCAGCTATGAGTAGCGAAAGATCTGGCACAGCATCTGCATCTGCATCTCATCCGCTCAGAAGCACGAGCCTACACGAGCCGCGCCACACCCAAGACTCCCCGCTCGCAGCCCGCAGCTCGTCCCACAGTCATCGATGACGACAGCTACACCATCTGTGAGTTCCTCAGCACGCTTGTGCATTCACGAAGCGCCCAAGGGTCTGTGCTTCCTCCTGGCGTGGTGAGACCTGGACTCACTCAATACGGATACGTTGATCTATGTGTCTGTGCCTGACAGAGGTCTCTGCACATCGTCTCGCATGTGCCGTCATCCGCACAAGACCAGTCGTTTCCCGCCATCCGCACCTCCCTCACCTTCGCCCTACCTGCCTCACTCAGACGTCTAACATGACAACAACTTGTGGCACATACTGTTGCCCTATCGCTCGCGCCCGAAGGCGACTGTGCTCAAGCAGCTGGACAGATGGGTGCGGCGCACTGATGTCGGCGACAATCAGTGTACGGGAGAGGCTGCCGGCCGGGCGTTGGTGTGGCAGCCAGACGGCATGCATATCACAGGTTTGTTTGTCGGGTGAGGGAGGGACGGATGGAGGGGTCACAAATCCGGACGAGGGTGTGTACTTGACTTGTGTATACACGTACGGACAGGTTTAAGTGGCGATCGGCAGAGTGTTTTTCGCGTCCCCTTGGCTGAGACTGGTACTAAGTAGATGCCACGACCGTCTTTCCATGTGCGTGCAACAATGCGGCCTGCCTTACTGTTTGTCTGCCCTGGCTGCAGCCTTCACCCGTTCGCAACCACATGCAGTGTTCACCCATGTCGTGCCGGAGATACTCGTGCCCGACAGCACCAGCCCCATTGGCAAAGGTGATACATATACGGACATGCAATCAGACAGATAGACAGACAGACAGATAGACCGACCGACCCGTGTAGGTGGATGTGTGTGAATGTGTACAGGTGTTGATGGGAAAGAGGCCCATCTTGTGGGGCTCGATTGGCAGCCCTATGCTCTGCGGCCCACAGTGGCGCTCGTGTGGACGAGCGGCATCGAGGTGTGGCAGCCCATGCTGTCCAACGCTGATGCGCCATCGTGAGCCTATGCGTGTGGGTGGCGGCGTCTGGTTCGATGGCTCCGTGATCGCTGACGTAAGGTGGAACCCGACCGGCAAGAGTATAGCTTTCATCAAGACGAACGCAGACCGGTCAGTCAGCCGGGAAGTCAGCCCCTTAGCACAGTTACTCAACCCGCCGCACCGCACGTATTCCTCTGCTGTGCGCACAGTTCCTTGACCATCTCCCTTCTCGACATGACAAGCTCTGCACGCGAGCGTTACAGCGTACCGGCACCCTCCCCCCACATCAGCCACGACCCATCGCACACCATGCTCGTGTGGACGCCTGACGGTGCGACACTCGTAGCGTCCAACAGCGAGACCCTCTTTGCGTTGAGGTGCCCGTGTGGTGTCCCACCATCGGTGGCGGGGCACCGGTCTATGGCGGATGGACGAGGGATGCGCGGGGGGTTGGGAGTGGTGCAGCGGGTGGGGCTCGATGAGGCGCGGCGAGAGGATAGAGGCAAAGCTTTGGAGGCGTACGGTATTCGGATGGAGGCCGACGAGCGATGGTCAGTGAGGGTCACTCAGCCACGGATGGATGCATCAATGGCGATGATGATGACAAGTGGTATCTACTGTCTCTTGTTGTGTTGGGTGCCTGCTTGTTGTACGCAGCAAGGACGCGGCGGGCCGGCACTGTGAGCTGCTCAGCTTTGACATCGACCCTTCTTGCCGCAGGCTGGCAGTAAGCACATGGATGGATGGATGGATGGATGGAAGGCAGAGGTGCATCTTGTGTTGGGTCTGCTGTCTGTATCACACACCTCTCCGGCACCATGCTGTGCTGTGCAGGTCATGTATGGGACGTCGGGGGCAGTATGGGTGTACAGATGCGACGTCAGCATGGCTGCAATCA